GTGGGGACTTTGCTTGAAATCCTCAGACTGAAACGAACAGTGCCATTGAACTTTGGTGCCAGCCGGAACTCTTACTGAGGGAAAAGTTCGCATCTCAAGTTTCATAATTGAGGGATAGTACTGAATACAGGATCATATATTTTACATCTTACTTTTAAAATGGGGCGCCCCTCTCCTAATATGGCACATTCCTGCACGCCCACGGGGATGATCCCGGAGCCCCACCTCTGAATTTAGGTCCCGCTCCTTTTTAAAAAATGTGCTCTGTAAGGGCTTGTTTTGCTCACTTTGCTTGACATTTTAAGTCATTCTTTTTTCTTTCTCGGTTATAGTTGACGCAAGTGCTTTCACTTACGTTTTCTATTGTAATCCTCACGGTAACCTGGAGTGGAGGAATGAAAACAGTCCTCTCCCTGCAGCCCGGAGGCGGCAGCCTAGATGAGCAGGAACCTAGCTGGTTCTTGAACCCAAGGCTGCTGGTGTAAAATCAGTTCTTTTTCCAGAGCATCCTGTGCACCTGAACTGGTCACATTCACGGATAGGAAGTGGGCTGGGTTGTCAGTCTACATGTAACTAATGGGAGGAGTGGATTCCATAGATGTGGGGACTTTATAGACCAAATTGTCACTTGATAAAAATCATCAATGCGATCTGTGTTCTTGCTGCTTAAAGTGTAGTAGATGTACCAGCAACATCCACATCACCTGGTATCTTGTTAGACATGTAGAATATCAAGTCTCACCTGAGGCTGAATCAGTACCTGCATTTTAACAAGGCCTTCATCAATATTTGAGAAGCACTAACTGAAATGGAAAAGTATGTATTTTCTATTTGAATTTCTCATTTTAGGGAAATGTCTTGTTTGACTGGATTCTACCCATGTTTTCAATAAGGGTGTTTTCTAAAATTCCTAACAATTTCCTTGTAGCAAAACAAGTACTTTTCAATTCTCAGAGTTATTTTTCTGTGGCATTTAACCTTGTTAACTATCCTGAAAACTCTCTTCCCTTGTTTTTGTTTTAAAGGCAATATATTGAGGTATAATTTACAGAAATAAGATTTTCCCATTTTAAAAGTACACTGGTTGAGTTTTGAGAAATGTATATACTATATAACCACAGCCTAAAAAAAAAAGATGTAGAACATTTCCACAGCCCCCAAATTCTCTTCTGTCTCCTCCTAGGGGGATAATCCCCAACCTCTGATCTAATGTGTATCACTAAAGGCAAGTCTTACCTCTTCTAGAACTTCATAAACATTGAATTAAAGGGTATGTATTCTTTTGTGATTGGCTACTCTCAGCATTTTTTGGGATTCACAGTGATGTTTTGTAGCAATAGTTCCTCTTTATTGCTGAATAATATCCCACAATTTGTTTATCCATTCCCATACTGATGAACACCTGAGTTATTTCTAGTTTTGGGACTATTATAAAAAAGCTGCTGCGAATATTCATGTAAAAGTATTTTTGTGTGCTTATGTTTTCTTTCTTGTAGGTAAATACCTGGGAGTGGAATTGCTCAGTTATATGATAAGTGTATATTTACTTTTAAAAGAGATTGCCAAACTGCTTTCCCAAGTGGCTATACTATTTTACATTTAGGGCTGTTATGTCTTCTTGATGAATTGACCCTTTCATCTGTACAAGTTCTTTTTATCTCTGGTAATAGTTTTTCCTCCTGAAATCTACTTTCTCTGGTACTAATATAGCCACTTCTGCTTTCTTATGATGTTTCCATGTGTATCTTTTCCCCTTTTTATTTTCACCTGCTTTCTCTTCAGATTAATATATTTTTTTTAGACAACATAGTTGTTTTTCTTTTTGATCCAGTCTGACAATTTGTGTTTTAATTGGTGTGTTTAATTCACTTACGTGTAATGTAATTATTGATATAGATGGGATAAAGTCTACTATCTTGCAAGTTGTTTTCTATCTGTCCTATATGTTCTTTGTTCCTTTTTCCTCTTTTCATTCCTTCTTCAGAGTAGTTGATTTTACTTTTTTTAATATTTTGTCTCCTAATTTTATCTCCTATGTTAGCTACCTTACGTATATATATATATGTTTTGATGGATATATTTATGTATTTTGGGGCTGCAAAATCTAGGGTTTTTGAAATAATATTATGCCATTCTGAAATAATATTATACCATGTTATGTAAAATATAAGAAGCTTACAATAATGCAGGGGTGGGCAAAAGTATGTTAATAATAAATAATACAATAATAAATAAATAATAATCTAAGAATAAACTGTTTCATGTACTCACAACTGTAAGCCTACTTTTGCCCACTCCTCTATATTTCTCAACTCTGATTATTTATTATTGTCATGTAGTTACTTCACATATGTCATAGATTCCAAATACATTGTTATTTTTTCCTTAATCTTTATATCAACCTGTATATCCAGATTTTATCTGCTATCATTTTCCTTCACCTGAAGAACTTTATTAGTTTTTGTAATGTTCTGTTGGTAACAGTTTTCTTAAATGTCTATTTTTCTTTCGGTTTTAAAGGAATCATTCTGTAGATGTAGAATTCTAGGATGATAGATTTTTTTTCTTTCTGTCTTTTAAAGATGTTGTTCCATGTTCTTTGAGATTGCATTATTTCTGATAAGAAGTCAGCAATACAGTTGACCCTCGAACAATGCAGAGGTTAGGGGAACCGACTACCTGCTCAGTTGAAAATCCACTTATAACTTTTGCCCTGGCCTGCAGCCGAGGTGCGTGCCCTTGACTGGGAATTGGACCTGTGATCCTTCAGTGCGTTGGCGGACACTCTAACCACTAAGCCAAACTGGCTAGGGCTATTATTATTTTTGCAAAGAATTTTCTCCAACTAAAGTCAGAGAGATGCCCCAGAGGGGGAAGTCAGGGTGGTTGGAAGTGTAAGAGGGATTTGAGTCACCATTGCTTTAGGAGCAAAGATAGACCCCAGCTGTCAGTCAGGAAGGGACTTCAGCCCTTAAACTACAAGTAACTGAATTCAGCGCACAAACTAAATGGGTTTGGAAATTCATTCCAATATCCTGCTGGCACCTTTATTTCAGCCTTGTGGAATTCTAAACAAAAGATTCAACTGAATCATGCTGTACCTGGACTTCTTACCTACAGAACTGTGAGATAATAAATGGGTACTGTTTTAAGCCATTAAATTTGAGTTAATTTGTTATGGTAGCAATTGTAAAACTAATACATTGAATAGACTTTTAAAGAGTGTGGGCTTTGTTTTGGGAGGCTGTTAACTCTAGTAGCTGATCAGCCTGATCCTTTTGAGGCTCATTTTAGAACTCCTTTTGTTATAAGGATTGTCTAGACCCTTCCTTAAGAAGTGGCC